CAGAGATACGACCAGCCGTCGACACCCGACAACCACTGGTCGGCCGTTGGTTGTCAGTGGTCTCTGGAACATTTTGGTCGAGTGGAGGTTTACGCTGCTGCATTGAAAACCAAACTTTTGCAGACCAAACTAATCGTGGAAATGCTTGTCTTGGTCTCCCAAGGGTAGGCAACAGTTCTCAGACTGATACACGACAGATCCACAATGGTTGTCGACTATTACCGGGCGATAGTAGATTGAGAAAATGTCGGCAGTTCATCTGCGTATGATGTACGATCAGATACTGATTAGACCCTAAACACCTGTAGAACATCAATAACCATAAAGAAATCTAATTTTAAAGTGTGAAAATTATATTGTTTCTTATACTGCTCTTTGAAAAATTCAGTTCGTTTGATACTTTTCCATTGAAAGAAAAGAGGTAATTAATTTCCTATATTTCTTTTTATTGATCTTATCAAATCATGTTATCCTGTGATTTTCTTTATGTAAAAACAACCTAGTTTTTTCCTGTTGAAGCAGCCTACTAAAAGCACGAAATGTCAGTTCAAAAGTGAGACAAAGTCTCATCCATTCATTGATACATGTTAGGTATGCTGCTGTTTTTTTTATATGGATCCGGAAAAAGTCCCTCCATTTCATAATAAGTATCTTTGTTTAGTATTGCCGATCAATAACCGAACAGTTACAGCTAAACCATTCGTAAATAGTTTCAGCTTTAAAACCTCACATTCTCAAGAAAGATAAATCGGGCCAAATTAATTTATCACATACTTTAACAATAACAACACTTGGTGAGGTTATGAATAATTTATTTGCTGGCTGTACGTATGTAGACGATAAGGTGAAAGCCTTGCGTACCTTTCAATTATTTCAGCATCTAGGTTATAAATTTGACTTATAGCTTACAATTCTGTATATCGATCGTTTGAATAATTTACCATAGCCCTACATACATGTGTAATTAAACACGTTCTTTGATTTGTATGTCACGGGGGGGGGGGGGGGGGGGAGCATGCAATTGAAGTTTTCTCTTGAAATTCAAATGGTTAATCCCCCAAAAATGCTGAGCATAAGGCAATTCATTTCCCGTAAAATTTTAATTGCAATTCCCAGACAACTTTGTTAAAACTTTCGACCGCTTTGGTCTTCTGACCTTTATCATTTCTCATTTTGCCAATATAATGGAAAGGAATTGTAATTAACCCGTTCCTAACACCTGTAAGTGTTACAATGGCATTTATTAACAGACATTGAATATTATCTTTTAAAACTTGACGAAGGGGGATTTTGACATGTTTTATGAACACGATTTTATTGCTTTGGCATTTGTAATCATTTTTAGGGCCAGTTGGGTGTAAATTTAACTCACAAAAAGAAAACATTAATGGTAAACCAAATGTTAATTAAGGAGTTGCTTTTATTGTTTTAGAGTTGCATTTACTCGCAATTTTTTTTGCTAGAGGCTCCTGATTAATTAACTGACTACAACATGATTTCAAACCGGTCCCGAAGGAAAAGTTCCTATGATATTTGTTTTGCAACAAAGGGGTCGGATAATTACATTCAGCTGCATTTGCACACAGAAATTGCCGAATCGGTGGTTATATCACCCTAATTTGTCAAAGATCATTGCCTCTACTCTATGTCGTCGGAGGAACCACGGCCGTAGTACTGAAAACAATTAGTCCATGACCTTCATAGGCGTATCCATGCATCGGTTGAGGGGGCGGGGGAGGGCAATTGATCCGATGGTAATCTATACATACATTTTTTTCGCGTATTTTTTTGTACTTTATCTGTGTTCAGTGAGTCTTTTTCACTACGTATCGTTATGATCTATATTTTTCTGAGAGATGTGTTTCATTGAACTCTAATCTTTATGCGTATAGATGTTCCAGATTTTTATCTCCATTCAAGATACAAAACCGGTATTCATCTCATCGCTTTGATGTACTTCATTTATTTTAAATAAGTGCCTCCAATTTCATCAAGACTTTGATAGACTACCTTCGATTTTTGTTCACTTATTTATTATTTTCTTTTTTTTAATATTTTTTTTCGGGCACTTTAATGAGTATGTACTTTAGAGTGAAACAAAAATCAGCCATCGTTTTCTTACTTGGGTTGAAATTTGTCAAGGACTCTAATATTGCCGCTTTCTCCTAGTGCTGGCAATTACAATTGAAGAGTTTACGCTTAATGCAACCAATAACCTCAGTTCAGTCATGTTGTTGTATTAAAGGAGTAATGTCAGTTGATACACTGTTTAAATGGAAAACAACATGAGTTAGCTAATGGGGCGTCCCACTCTCGTGGGTTCCGTTACGAACCCCATGATTGGCCATTCGTAGCTGATCGTGGAAATTCTCTGAATTGCCAGGTTTGAATACGAGGTAATGCGAGTCGATACGTTCTGGTACGATTTGGTGCGCTTGGTTGAGATATGGTCCCGATCGGTAAATTTCAGGTGACACGATCTGGTCTCCGGTTGAGATATGATCATATACGTTCCGATAGGATTGTCCCGATTGAGTCTACAGTTGGGTCTCGATGTGAGACAATCATCACGATCGGGGTCACCGATTTGGGACAATCGGGTACGTGCAGATACGTTTAAAATACCTTCCGATACGGTCATCACAAACCGATGCGCTCTGTTGCGACAGGATACGATTGTGGTCGCGATGTCTTTCATGAAAAGGGTCTAGATTGATCATGATTTGAGGTACGATCGGACCCTGACGGATATCTATACAGGCCGCCTGACCATGGACTTCATCGTTTCTTGAACTTCTACAGAGTGAACACTACAACCGATTGCCACGACTGACCTCAATGATAATATCTGATATGATCACCACGATTACTCCACGATTAAGACTACGATTTGAATCGTGGCGCCAATCGTGATAGTGGGAACGCCCCATAACAAGAAATATAAGATTGTTCCAGATAATGTGGCATTTCAACCCAATTATCTGATAAGTCTAAAATGATTAATGATTGGGAACACAAACCCTTGTGAAGGTGTGACATAATATCTGTGATGAGTTCTGTTTGTGTTTATTTTTGTTCAGCTCACTGAGAAAGCTTGCGAGTTTGTACGTCAACATGAATATGAGCAGAGTCTCCCTCAAGACGCTGATTGTGACGTAGGAATTCAGGGTCAGAAACCGTAAGTTATTTTAATTTGTTATCAATCACCATCAAGTAAAACTTAGGCCTAGGTTGTGACATATTTGTTATCATTGTTTATAATAACTTGTATTCGCGTAATAACATCAGAATATAAGTGAATAAAACGGAAAGAGGTTAAAGTGAGGGTAAGGTGAGTTAATAAAATCGTTATCGGCATTGTTAAAGGTCCTTTTACACTTTCACGGATCGCATCACGGATCATCCCGGATCTTAATCCGGGGTGTTCCGGCGTGCGACACCACGATTTCTTCTCGATGACGGTGTGGATACGTTCCGAACTGGGTGTATACACGGGCAAGTACGGTGTCTGAAACGCATACGGAGCTAACACAGATTTCAAGGAAGAGCACGGAGGCTACTGGGTACTTTTTACGGTCCTTACACGGAGGTGTACGTTTTCTATTGGGATATCTCCGGAATTTTGACGGGTGACCTGAGCTTGTAGGCGCTCATTTGATATACGGAATTTCAAACCCGGATGAAACCGGTGTTAATACGGACCTCCCGGTGTCTACACGGACTGTCCCGGATGTATTCGGCGGCTACACGGAGGTACACGGTGCCTACAGGGAAGAGGGCTATTGTTTCATCCGTGAACTCCGGGATATGCCGGTACGCCAAGGATCACGCCGGATGCCTCCCCGGTGTATACACGGTAGTGCCGGAGATAACACGGATGATCCCGGAGCGACGATCCGGGATGATCCGTGATGCGATCCGTGAAAGTGTAAAAGCGCCTACAAGCTCAAGTCACCCGTCAACATTCCGGAGATATCACAATAGACAACGTACACCTCCGTGTAAGGACCATAAAAGTACCCAGTAGCATCCGTGCTCTTCCTTGAAATCCGTGTTAGCTCCGTATGCGTTTCCGGCGTGGTCCGCGTTGCTACCTTGTCTGTCCGTGGAGACGCCGTACTTGCCCGTGTATACACCCAGTTCGGAACGTATCCACACCGTCATCGAGAAGAAATCGTGGTGTCGCACGCCGAAACACCCCGGATTGAGATCCGGGATGATCCGTGATGCGATCCGTGAAAGTGTAAAAGGGCCTTAAGATGATAACGATGGTAGCGATAGAGAAGGAGAGAAGAGGGTAAAATACACAAAAAGAGAAAGAGAATACGAGAAAAAGAGAGGGAAAGTGGAGGAGGGAAAGAAAGAGAGAGAGAGAAAGAGAGTAAAGGGGGGAGAGAGAAATGTCGACTAGGATAACTAATATTTTATGAATAGAAAATAGAACGAAAAATGATTAATGCTTTATATACATTTATCTCATCTTCATGGACATCAGACATGAACATTTGGTTTATATGTGTAATATACAGTTATTATGTATATTATTATATATTCATTGTACTTTGCAACTAGTCATGCCACGTATGTTCTGTATAGACTTCTTTTTTAGCACAACAGTCGATTTCCATTTTATTTTAATTCTACTCTCCTATTAGATGAAACTCGGTATGATCGACTCACTTCCCTATGAGACTCCATTCTTTATTTGAAAACTATCTGCTGACTTAATGCTTGTTTACGGTACCCTCCTCTCTTTCGAAGATGGTGTCAGAATCAAATGAGATCATGTAATTGTATTGCCTATTTTCAACCGCGTATCATTCCATTGATTTGACCTTTGACCATTTAGATTCGAACAACTATAAATTAACATGACGTAAAGGGTTCAACAAGTTTACGTGCTAGATTCCATAATATCAGTTCGAGTACAGCAATATAAATATGCCTTTTGTTTTAGGGTTAATGGACTTAGGATACCGCTGATCTCACCACTACAAAGCATGCCATCACAACATACATCCGTTGTCTCGAATACTGAACAAAATGCAGCACAGAAAAAGCGTACAGATGGAGGAAGTAGTGTACCTTCTAATACGCCTTTACTACTACCACCTGATCATGATACAGCTTTAGAAGACCGACATCCAGAGCTGCCACATGGCGATCCTGTGTTCCTCGATACCGACACATTTACTGATGACACATGCATTCCGCTGGAAGAACGCACATTTCATCTGCAGCCAGCAGAAATCATGGGTATCTTAGAGACTGAAACGAATGATGATTGGGATGCAATGTATAACAGACTACTGGATGAAATATCTCCGAGCGATGCAAGTGCGTTCAAACTAGAGCTACCATTCAACCCTGACATAGACCAGGTGGATAAGAAAGGATACACACCTCTCTACAACGCAGCTTTAGAAGGTCATCTCGAAGGTGTTGAAGATCTCATTTCAAGGGGAGCAAACCCAAATAAACCAAGTAAGGGTGGACTCCGTCCTCTTCATGCAGCGGTTCAAGAAGGACATACACGGATCGTCGACTTCCTCATCCTGCAGGGAGCGGACGTGAATATCGAATGTGAACGGAGTACGAGACCTCTTCATACAGCAGCTGCAAAAGGTTATCTTGACATCTTAGAGAGCTTGGTTGCAGAAGAAACTAATGTGAACATGGAAGATCACACAGGATGGACACCATTCAATACTGCCGTTCAATATGGCCATCTTGAAGCTGTCAAATATCTCATAACTGAAGGAGCGAAGCAGAACAGATATGCTGGTGTGACCCCACTCTATGCTGCAGCACGATTTGGTCATTTAGACATCGTCAAATTCTTCATTTCCAAAGAAGTCGATGTGAACGAGGAAAATGATTCAGGACGGATTCCTCTCCATGGTGCATCTATTCACGGTAGCACTGAAGTCATGAAATATCTCGTTCAGCAAGGATCAGATGTGAACAAGAGTAGTGCCACGGGTTGGACTCCATTCAATGCTGCCGTTCAATATGGCCATCTAGAAGCCGTCAAATATCTCATGTCTGAAGGTGCGAAGCAAAACAGATATGATGGTGTGACCCCACTCTATGCTGCAGCACGATTTGGTCATTTAGACATCGTCAAATTTTTCATTTCCAAAGAAGTCGATGTGAACGAGGAAAATGATTCAGGACGGATTCCTCTCCATGGTGCATCTATTCACGGTAGCACTGAAGTCATGAAATATCTCGTTCAGCAAGGATCAGATGTGAACAAGAGTAGTGCCACGGGTTGGACTCCATTCAATGCTGCCGTTCAATATGGCCATCTAGAAGCCGTCAAATATCTCATGTCTGAAGGAGCGAGGCAAAACAAGTATTATGGAATGACCCCACTCTATGCTGCAGCACGATTTGGTCATTTAGACATCGTGGAATTCTTCATATCCAACGGGGCTGATGTGAACGGAGAAGATGATGAAGGTATGATTCCTCTCCACGGGGCAGCTTGTGGAGGCCACTTGAAAGTCATGGAATATCTCATTCAACAAGGGTCTGAAATGAACAAGAAAGATAAGTCAGGCTGGATACCGTTCAATGCTGCCGTTCAATATGGTCATCTGCCAGCCGTCAAATATCTCTGGAATACGAAGGCGGCAGAGAGTATATATAACGGAATCACTCCACTATTTTCCGCAGCGAGATTTGGTCATAAAGACGTAGTAAAATTCCTCATTTCCAAAGGAGGTGATGTGAAGGAGGGAGACTGTATAGGCCAGATTCCTTTACATGGTGCAGCCATAAAAGGTGACATTGAAATGCTGCAATATCTCATTCACCAAAGATGCAATGTGAACAAGAAAGACAACACCGGAATGACCCCACTCATTGCTGCTGTTCAAAATGGCCATCTAGAAGCCGTCAAATATCTCATGTCTGAAGGAGCGAAGCAGAACAGATATGATGGTATGTCCCCACCCTACTCCGCAGCTCTATCTGGTCATGGAGACCTTGTAAAATTCTTCATTTCCAAAGGAGTCGGTGTGAACGAGGAAAATGATACAGGACGGATTCCTCTCCATGCTGCAGCTATCCATGGCAACAATGAAGTCATGAAATATCTCGTTCAGCAAGGATCCGATGTGAACAAGAGTGATGCCAAGGGTTGGACACCATTCAATGCTGCCGTTCAGTATGGCCATCTAGAAGCCGTCAAATATCTCATGTCTGAAGGAGCGAGGCAAAACAAGTATTATGGAATGACCCCACTCTATGCTGCAGCACGATTTGGTCATTTAGACATCGTGGAATTCTTCATATCCAACGGGGCTGATGTGAACGAAGAAGATGACAAAGGGAGAATTCCTCTACACGGTGCAGCTATTAACGGTAACATAGATATCTTGGAATATCTCATTCAGCAAGGATATGATCTGAACAAGAGAGATACCACTGGTTGGACGCCATTCGATGCTGCCGTTCAATATGGCCATCTAGAAGCTGTCAACTGTCTCATGACTAAAGGAGCGAAGCAGAACAGATATGCCGATATGACTCCATTGTATGCCGCAGCAGTATTTGGCCATCTTGATCTTGTCATACACTTCATTTCAAAAGGAGCTAATGTAAACCAAGAAGATGAAAACGAGAAGATTCCTCTCCATGGTGCAGCTTCTGGAGGACACATAGAAGTCATGGAATATCTCATTCAGCAAGGTTCGGATGTCAACAAGAACGATTGCAGAGGTTGGACGCCATTACGTGCTGCAAGCAAAAATGGTCATTTGGAAGGGGTCAAACTTCTCATGGCAAAAGGAGCTAAGATTACCAGGTTGCACGGAATGTCTCCGCTTTACATCGCAACACAGTATGACCATGTTGATGTGGTAAACTTCCTAGTCTCCAGTGGATGTGATGTGAACGAAAGAAATGAATGCGGTAAGTCCTCTCTTCATGCAGGATGTTATAATGGCAACATGGATATCGTGAAATTACTCGTTCACCACAACGCTAATGTCAATGAACAAGATAATGATGGATGGACACCACTAGAAGCCGCTGCACAAGAAGGACACCAAGACATAGTCAATTACCTTGCATTGAATGGAGCAGGCATGCACGTGAGGGATGTAGATGGTTTGACGCCGCTCCGAGCAGCAGAAAACACAACCAATCCACATGCAATAGAAGGTGTCTCACCTTCTAGAGGTGACCCGGAAGAGGAAGAAACACGAGATCCACGACCTGGAGGTCACCACAATCACATCACAAGAGGATATGTGACGGTGACAATGAAAGATGCAGACAAGCATTCACGTGCAGGACAGTTTGCATCTCAGGTAGATAATGCAGAGGAGGGGACTTACTGCACTCAAGCTGATAATGCAAAGAGAGGAGCTGATGTTCTCTCCTTGAAGAGTTTCCCCACAAGGATCCATGATGATGAAAAGGATGGAAATGAGGAATGCAATCCTTTTATTCATGCAAAGCTGAAATATCCTGACAAAGGTGAACAAGATCCGAAGATAGATCAGATGAAGGCAATGACGTGCCCCGATACAAGAAAAAGACGCACCACAACAAATGGCACAAACTGTTCTTCGCCGCGTGGACCTCAATCAGGGCAATACAGCGGATTCGATCCACCCTATCTACAAACCATGGAGACTGACGGTCACCCGTCTGAAGAACCAGAAACCAGATGTCACTCACTAATTGACGAAAACAGGGAAATTAGAGTGAGTGGTTATTATTTTTTTAAGTTTTCACTAAACCAAGCAAATGCCATTTATTTGATTAAAAACTTTAGATAGAAAAGAAAATGGAAAGTACAGATATGTTTGGAAGCATCCATGCAGACATTTCTAAAATCATCATAGCAATGGAAAACAAAGATTCATACAAAGCAAAATTAATGACCAACTGTTTTATTCATTGGCCTATGATAAAGATTTCCTCCAAATCTCAAAATAAAGAATGGAAGAATTACCTTCAATATATACTTTATACACGCTGATCAGTCATTTTTTGTTGTGAAATCAAGAACGTTTATATTGTTTGCACCTACGTTCGACTTTGTTTTACTTCTTGTTTTATATAGCTCTACATATAACTACCGTGCTCAACAAAAGTAATTGTCAATCTGTCTTCTTTGTTAATTTTCTTTTATTGTCTCTACACTTTTATTGATTTTTCCTGTAAGGAATCTTCAACACCGACGACTGCTGGAGATGATCGACCAATCAACGGAATTTCAACGGAGTTAGAGAGGTATTAGTCACTTTCCATTTATTTCATTTTATTTCATTTTTATCTTTTCCATCCTTCTCATGCCAACCCCTCTGTCTCTGTCTCTCTTTCTATTTTGTTCTCCCTCTCTCTCTCCCTCTTTCTCTATCTCTCATCTTCTGCATTTTTCTTCCTTTGTCTTCTTATGTAACCCTTTCTGTCTCAATATATCTCGCAAATACTCTCTCTCTCTTCAACATTTTTTCTCTCCCCATTAATTTCTCTCTCCGTCAATATTGTTTCATTGTGTTTCTATAATAAACCCTCATATATTGTGTGTGACTGTGTTAAATTACATTATCAAGTAGCTTTTTAAAAATGAATATAATTTGCAGTATACTTTGGTTCGAAATAAAACAAATCTACAATATTTATTTGGCCTAAACTCAATTAATTAGCTTCAATTTCTATTTGAGAAATATGAATTCTTCTCAGTTAACAATAATTTATGAATAATAATAACGGCGAATGTATAATATTTGTATCTTTAAATCTTTTACAATTATGAAATATGTTATAAGTTGTAATTTATTTTACTGTGTATAATATTTACTTGTCTTATATCTAAGTTTTGCTGATATGTTTTTTTATTTTTAGATTGTAAAACTTGCATTGAAATTTAACTCTTGGGCTACCATATTTAGCAGTTGTTCTAATAAACCATTCTACTACTACTACAACTACTTATTTGAGGAAATCTTAGTTTTCTCAGAACATGATGTATTCAGTGAATATATCATTATTATTTAAAGTTCTCCTCTTGATTTGTTACATCATTAATTAAACAAAATGTCTTCATGTTTGATTAGTGGATATTCAGAATCATTTAGTTTACACACCAACAAATTATACAAGTACTTCAACTGCATGACATCACCTTTAAGAAGGATTAGAGCACTTTGTGACTCATACAATGGCTGGATTTGCTCCTTACAAAGCTAGAGAAGTAGTTAAATAAGACTTGATGCAAAAAGGTAATTGTGGGTCGTTATCTGGAAATTTAGTTATTTTTCTTGACCGTCTGTGGGCTTTCTGCGATGTACGTATACATTCTATAAATTCTAGTTGTCAACACTCATCATACATTATTTTGTACATTACACCCACAACAAAAAATCTTTAGTTTTTAATGGTCAAGAAATATCCAACAAAATCTGAGTAGACCCTACTAGGAATCCAATTTATTAGCTCATTCTGGTCTCTCCTTACATCAGCTAACTGCAATTTCTACAATTAAATTCAACAGCTTCCCTACACACCCGCCAGCTGTCGTTCACCAAAAGTTGTATGACCGAAACCCTGTCTCCACCCATGGAACCTCTTCAAACCCAGTTCGGAATATCGAGGTAAGAGAGAAGTATTGCTCCTATTTATCATTTCTTAATAACTTGTTGTTGAAGTTATGAAATAGTATAAGATGATTATGATAAAATGGATTATAGTTCTGCATCTATGCAAACTACAAAACTTATATTAGGCCTTTTTAAATAACAACTGCCTAACAGAATATTTAGATTATATTTCGGGACGATTATATATCAATATCATTTTCATCATTCCCATATATTGGGAAATATAAGTTGTTTTCTTGTAAAACATTTGACGACAGCATCAAATGGTGTCCTCCAATCTGTATTGTTAACATTGAATTAGATATTCCATACATTTATCAAATTTCAACGACGTTCTCTCAAATTCGTACCCTTTTAGACCAAACGTCGAACAGCGGTTCACCGGTGTTCTTCAATCCTGGCCTTCGTACAAACTTTCCTGCATGTGATTATCTCCTTGGCCATCATTCTTGCTGGAAGTCCGGTTCTTGTAGCAGGCATTGATACCTCCGAACGGGTCACGCTACAAGCAGGTAAACCTGGTTTGGTCCCATTCCATCTTCCATGGTTACCTAATAGTACACTCCGAAGTTATTTTACACTTCGATTTGAATCCACACCTCGTCCATTCTGCATTAATGGGGAAGTTAATATCGAGGGCTTTAAAAGTTCATCCCAAATATCAAGGTTTACAACCTCATTCACAGATCTAGACACTTCTCCGTGCGTGAATATAATGATAGATAAAGTTGATTCTCTAGACGAGGATGGGTACGTATTAACGGCAGGCTGGTATAGTTTTGAGAACGTTCGGCGTGAAACTATGAAGAAGGAGATTGTTGTTCAAATTCCCCCCGGACCTGCTAAATGCTTCATCACTTTTAGTGCAAATGTTGATTATCCCTATGAAGTACACTGTCGAGCCACCACTGGAAGCGTTACAACCACTCTATCATGTTACCAGAATGATCAGAAGATTGACATCAGGGGTGAAATTACAGATAATGGGCTAATTACCAGTGGCATATTTTTGCTACCCCATATCTCTCATTTCTCTTGTTGCTCACATGATGTATCTTTGAATGTAAGTCAAACAATGTGCAATGACTTCGAGGGGCCACACGGCAAAGAAACTACAAGCCTTACTGTCAATACTGTACCTACGGTTACCACTCCCACACCCCAAATAGAATCTCATACAGGGTCAGGGGCTTGTAGGCGATTCATGCTTCCTTTTATGTGGCACTTCACGTACCTATTCATATACCTCCTTGCCTTTGTTACAATGTACTAAACACAAAGTCTTCACACGTGATGTCACTTTCTTGTTTGAAAGATAGTGTAATATTTACAAAAAAATACAAACAAATATTATAGTTCGAATTTGAATTTCATTGATGTATACAATGTACAAAACATTTACTATTTCACATTCGTTGCTTAAATTCATACATAAATGTCTTTATTTGAAAGAAAATATCAAAATGGCCTACTTTCCAAATCGTTGTTATGTGTATGTATGTTTTGTTAAATAGTCTATGGTCTGCTATATTTCAATATTTGAGGGAACATATTTAATATCGATGACATTCCCTTTTATGCGCATGTCATTTAAAATAGACCATTTAAAGAAAAGGTTGAGTTCTGGGAAGAGGTTAACAATAATTTCTGAGCGTTTTCATTGTTATTATGCAAGTGTGGAATGTTCCCTGATAAGCATGGCTCTTTAAATGCCTTCATATTATAAATATGACATATAACAGCTTAAAAATGAGAACCTCATTTTTATGCCACATGTTTGTGTAGTCCCGTTTACATCTTTCTGTGTAGAATGCTTGTTACTTTTACCAAGACTGGACCAAATTTCTCACCATTTTGATGATTCCAGAACCTTAAAGTACACACCAATACTTACAAGCTACATGGTCATCTTGTTTTGATCGATTCCACACCGTTTCTTTCACAATGCAATCGCATGACCAGAACTCAAAATTATCTTTAAGTAGCTTGCTATCACCCAGCCATGCTTAATCCCATTTTAGAATGAATTTGAACCATGGGAAAAACATGAGTTACTCCTAGGATTGACATGTGCACGATGAACATTACTCTAAAGTTCTATGATACCCATAATATATCCTCATCGTTAATCACGAAAAAAACAATTTGGAATGTGATTTCTTTCCAGATTTTATTTTCACTATTTTCAACTTTATGTCGAGACTGGTGTTACATTTAAACGACATGATATAAATATCACGAATGACGACAGAGATTAGAAGAAATTGGACATAAGAAGTAAATATACCATTATATTGTAAATATCCTCTGTTTGAAACCAGAAAGTCAAAGACGTTAGCACAGATATAACGCCTGTCTGGCTGCAAATGGCAGTACACGGTTATTTATCGTTGTGTCTAAATGTTTAAATATGACTTTGGATCATGAAAATAAAAAATATTAAATGGGGACGCATGTTCCATTGTCAAAGTCAAAGTAAATTTTCATAGTGCAAATGCTTATGCAAGTGAAGTTGTGCCTATACATCTTAAGCTATTTGACTAAAAACAGTTTTATCAATTTGCAAACACAGTGTTTTATAGACCACATTGTGGTAAAATTATTTGTTTTCTCATAAAGTCTGCGTTTCTTTTCTTTTGTATACTTATGTTATTCATATTACTTTTAGTTTCTTCAACATCGCTGTTGAAAACCATTTCTTACATAATTTGTTTGGCTTAAACAATAATTTTAAAGATATATTTAACATGTATGTCTGCTTTTACTAATGTAGTTTACTTTGATGTACATGTAATACAAAACGGCTTGAATTGGTATTAATGCGTGAATTATACTATATACCGCCATTCCCAACACAAGCCACGCACGATAGAGAAATTGTGCTTCGTTACAGAATATGATGTTATATATAAAGCAACTTACTGCATGGAGTAATGCGTAGTGTATATCACATCTAAGAATATTATAATCACAGAGTTTGAATATGTTGTAAAATGAAAATAGGAACACTATACTGACGTACAAGAAGAAAGTTTCTTTATATCATCTTTGCAAATAGAAAAAATATATATAATGTGATTTTAAAAACATGCTTTGCAGAAATATTTATAAAAGTCCGTCAAGAGTAGATTGAGTCTTCCTTCTTTTACACTCTCCTTGCCACATTGAGGCTGAGAGCTGACCCAATTATGTAACTCAGTTATGTTATTCTCTTGATTGCATTGTATGTATACCTTTATCTTAAATCGGTTATCTAGCATACGGTAACGAATCCGGGGGGTCGTATTCTCCTGTCCTGTTTATCGTGTCCTATATGTACAGTCTATACGGCTTAGCATACATAATGTGCCAAAACTCTGATCCTGCTATCATCTTTTGAATATTTGTTGTGTCATCTATACTGAAATTTAAGTGTATCAATTTCAAATATCTATGTCAGCCGCAGTTTAAATGCCACGGCTTTATACTGAAA